TTTTCACTGTCGCATCAGGTGAAAATAGTACCATTTGTTACTCGTCTAACTCGTTTTAAATCAGATTCCAATTTAACAAATTTAGAGAAAATATGTTATAATTTATATATTCTAATTTATCTATTCTTATACAAGGTGTCCCATTTTTAAAAAATGCACCTCGATAATTCATCAACGAAGCATTTTCAGCAAAAATATTTCGGACAAAGTTGTATAGTTTTAAGGAGGACATAAAACAACTATACTATCTTGTTTACAAATGGCACCATTTTCGAAATATTCACTATTCATTACTTTTCTTAAATGGAAATCCCAATTTTTTATTACACTGTCTTTTTGACCAATTAATTTAAACAACTTTCGTCTGAAACATTTTTTTATTTGCCTAATATTTTTTGAGATATTTAAGGAAAATTTGATAATTTTTCAATATTTCACTCACGATATCTCGCTATTTGTCGGAAGAAAAAGTGGTACTAAACTTTTCTGCTGTATTTAATCTCAAGAATATATTATAATAATAGCGATTTTTGTTAACTTACTAACTTTTGGAAATTTCAAAATCATCAAATTAACAAAAGTCAGGGCGCTATTGAATAACAATATATTCTTAAGATCAAGTAGGGCAAAAAAGTCAAGTACCACTTTTTGTTCCAACAAATAGCGAGATATCATGAGTTAAATATTGAAAATGTTATTAAGTTTTCCTTAAATATTTCAAAAATATTAGGCAAATAAAAAAATGTTTCAGACAAAAGTTGTTAAAATTAATTGGTAGAAAAAAACGGTGTAATAAAAAGTTGAGGTTTCCATTTAAGAAAAGTAATGATCAGTAAATATCTCGAAAGTGGTATCATTTGTAAACAAAATAGTGTAGTTGTTTTATGTCCCCCTTGAAATCATATAATTTTTGTCCGTAACATTTTTGCTGAAAATGCTTCATTGAAATATTACCGAGGTGCGTTTTTTAAAATAGGACATTCTATATAATTTCGTCTAATATGTATGTTGCATTTAATATAATTAAAAAATAATCATCTTGTATATAGGACACTATGCAAGAAAAAACAATTATTATATTATCTTCTTATCATATTATCTCTTTAAAGTATTAAAGGGGAGAAGTGGAACTAAATTAAAAATGAAAAATCTAAATACACCGGAGATAGCATCAAAATATACCATAAATTTTTGCTGTAATTAGTTTTCCATCTACTTCATAGTTTCAAAGACTTACCAAAAACTAAAAAATTCATTATTTTTGTAGAATGATTTTAATCCTTAAGAGTTTTTGGTACTCACAGTAGCCATATTAGGTAATGACATTAGAAGCGAAAAATATGGTAAAATATACCTAATAAAAGAATAATCGGAAATAACCTTCGCTAATTTTGAGTTTTGAATATGTTGAACAGCAAAAAATATTAGACACACATTGTTATGTTTATTTTGTTGTTTAAGGCCCTTGCTTGTAGAATTCTTGATTGATGACGTCAGTAGTGAGAAAACGCACATTTTTGCGTGCCATGTCCAAGCAAAGAGATATTTATAAAAAAAATGTTTCAGGTCGTTAAAATATACTTATAAAATGTTCCGAATATTATATTTTTTCCTTGACAGTTAATCGACAACCTTAAGATAATTATAATATAAAGTCTAGTTGTACGTACGTAATTACTCCTTATGACAAGTCTCATATTATAGACATTTTATAGTTCTTGATTGAGAAACAAAGAAGTAAGTATCAAGTACTAAAGAAAAAGCATAAGTTCGAAGCATTTTACAAATACTCTAACGATCTAAATTATGTATACAAATATCTTTTTTATCTAAAAATGACGCGCAAGAATTTTGAGTGTGCGTTTTTTTCATTATAGACGTCATTAATCAAAAATTCTGCAGCAAGGGCCTTAAACAATAAAATAAACATAAAAATGTATATCTAATATTTTTTGCTACTCAATATCTATAAAACTCAAAATTGGTAAAGGTTATTTTCGATTGTTCTTTTGTTAGATATATTTTACCATAATTAAGCATGTAAATTGTAGTTATTATAATTACACGATATTAGTCTGTTACTATTTGCAAAATATTATAAATTCGACATTTTCAGGTTAAATTCTTTCTTATAAATAGGTCGATAAAATCAATTAGATAATAAAATTTGAATTCTCTAAAATACACAGAATGTCCGAAAATATTCAATACAGCCGTTATATGTAGAACAGGTCAAACAGAAAGTGGAAAATCATATATCATTTTATTAAAATAATTCACAATAATTATTCAGAAATTAATTACATGATATGAGTAAATGAACACATAAGAAACAATAGTTCAAATTCTATAAGCATATTTAATGAAAAGTTTGCCTTTCAGTAAAAAAAATAATTTACTTAGAATTTCGTAGTAACGATAAATATTAACAGATAAAAGAAGATGTTAAGAGAAATAAAACATCTTTCTCTAAGCTCGAAGTTACTTTTTCATTAAACATGTCTACAAAATGCGTTCTACCGTTTTCTATGCAATTATTAGTCTATTGTTGTTTAATTAATTTGTTTAATTAATTCTTGAATAATTAATGTGAAATTTACAAAATAGCACATGACTTTCTTTTTAAGTTTGACTCGTTTTACTTGTACGGTGACTGTATTAAGAATTTTTAAACATCCTATACAGAACGTCCTATAATTGTAACATACCAACTCCATAGGCACGTAGAACTAAGCGAGAGAAACGAAAAAGTTCTCTTCCATTTAGCGATATCTCGCATTGTTTTTTAGTAATAACCGCGTAAAGTTTGGCGTTTGTTACGCCCATCGCGGCCTATAGACACTCCGAGACGATGGTCTCTTGGCGCTTTGACGCCGCGCGATGGTCAGCGCGAGTCGCGTTACCGTTTAGCTTCGACGTACACAGCTCGCTGCGGAACGTCGGCGCGCAATGGGCGTGACAAACGCCAAACTTTACGCGGTTATTACTAAAAAACTGCTAGGTATGTAAATATGAAACCGGAATTTTTGCATAGAGAATAACGTTTATTGTATGAAAATGATAAAAAATATTTTATTCGAAGTATTGTCCATCGCTAGCTATATATTTTTCCCACCTGTCTGACAATTTGTGGATGCCACGCCAAAAAAACTGTTGCTCTTTTGAGGCAAACCAATCATCAAACTATTTCCGTACATTTTCGTAAGAAGTGAAGCGCTGCTCAGCAAGTGCGTGTCCCATCGATGCAAATAAGTAGTAATTGGACGAAGCCAAGTCTGGTGAGTAAGCCGCATGCGAAAGTATTTCCCAACTAAACGCCTCAATCGTTTCCTTGACCAGTTTTGCTGTGTGTGATGGTGCATTATCATGAAGCCAAATCACTTTGTGTTGCTTTTTTTGATATTCTGGTTGCTTTTCACGCAAAGATTGATTCAAATCGATCATTTGTTGTCGGTAGCGTTCAGTAATAACGGTTTTGCCAGGTTTTAGCTGCTTATAATAGATCACACCTTTCTGATCCCACCAAACACAGAGCATTCCATCCATAGCGATTTGGCCTTGCAGTCGATGTCGATGGTTCGCCTGGAATTACCCATTTTTACGCTTTTACGCTTTTACGCTTGGGATTCTCAAAATATATCCACTTTTCATCGCCAGTCACAATTCGATGGAGAAATGACTTTCTTTTGTACCTGGTGAGCAGCATTTCGCAAGTGGTTTTTCGGTTTTCCTGCTGTCTTTCATTCAGTTCATGTGGAACCCATTTTCCATCTTCTGGATCTTTCCCATGGCTTTTAAACGTATGGAGACGGCTTCTCGTGTCACATTTAATTGATCCGCGAGTTGTTGTTGCGTTTGAGCGTCATCATCATCCAACAGTGCTTGCAATTTGCTGTCTTCAAATTTTTTCGGTGGTCTTCCACGTTCTTCGTTTCTCACGTAAAAATCGCCACGTTTGAATTTTTTTAAACCACTTAAAGCACTGTGATTTACCAAGAGCATGCTCACCGTAAGCTTCGACAAGCATTCGATGCGATTCTGCAGCAGTTTTCTTCAAATGGTAATAGAAAATCAATGCTGTCCGCAAATCGTAGCTTCCAGGCAGAAAATTTGACATGTTCAACGCTATTACAAACTATGCTGTTGTATAAAACTTGTATTGTTGAAAATCTTTGTCAGATGTCAACAAATGGAAATGGCGCCAATGACGCGGTTTGACGGTAACTACATTGACAGCTAGGACCATCTATGGGCAAATTCCGGTTTCATATTTACAGACCTGGGGCTCGATTCCTGACGGCGTGCGAATGAGATGCGCATACGAAAATCTATATTATATATTATTATTATTATATATTATATATAACGTAAACTGTACATTTTCGCATATGCATCTCACTTGCACGCCATCAGGAATCGAGCCCCTGGTATACGAGATATCGCTAAATGAAAGAGGACATTTTCGTTCCTCTCGCTTAGCTCTACGCCCCTATGGAGTTGGTGTGTTACAATTATGGGACACCCTGTATATTATATTTTATATAGTACTGTTTTATGAAATTCGCAATAATTATCGAGTTATTAATATAGAAATCTGTCGAATAAGCGCACGCTGAGATGAATGATTGGAGAAGCGTCGCAGCCTCTCGGGTTACAGCATGGCCCAGTCGACCTAGCAATTGTTGGCGGCGTGCGGCGAGATAAAACAACGACGCGTTGTCCTTCCTCTCGCCGCACACCGGCAACAATTGCAAGACCGACTGGGCCATGCTATGACCTGAGCAACTGCAATGCTTCTCCAATCATCTATGTCGGCGCGCTCTCACTCTTCAGATTTCTGTCATTAATAATTCAATAATTACTGCGAATCTCGCAAAATGGTATGGGACTTTTATGTTTGTCTTAACCCAATCTACCTTCACACTTCAGATTGGTAGCTAATTATCGGATATCCTTATATTACATTTTAGCAAAAACTAAATTTAGACATGCTAATTCACCTATATACAATGCCGGAAATTACAGTTCCTAATATGGTGTGGTAAACTGTGTTTCCCACTTTCTCTGGAAGTAACAACAGGAGGCTGTCGATGATATAATTCAGTGTAATTCCAGTCAACATGGAACTGTACAACAACGCTGGGAAATAATGATGGAAGTATAGCACTCTACTCATCGCCCAGAATGGTGCATAATGCAAGATCCATCCGAGAAACATCCATTTGCCAGCATATGTTATTCTGCTTCGTTGTTTGAACACAACCACTTCGCCAACACAGCCTCGTTGTTCACATACAATAGCATATATATAAAGAATTACGAACAATATAAGGAAAACTATATTTCCCCACCAAATAATAGGATTACCAAGTAAATAAATCCTTTGATTATTTCCAGAAAAAAATTGACCCTAAAATAGAAACTTTATTGAGAATAAATTTTATTATAAAAATTATACGTTGTTATAATATAAACTATATAGTATAAAATCTTACAATCTAATGTTACGGAGAATTGTATAAATTAATAATTTATAGAAAGACAGGAAAAAAATAATACTTTACTCTATAATTTATCAGCCACTGCCATGGCCGCGAGGATACTTCTCCTTCTTTCACTTTCAGATCTGAGTTTCCTTGCAACATTACGGCATGCGATTCTATAAATCTGTCGATGAATCCTGGCGCGTATACTTGAAAACTAACATTTGGTACTAATAAAAATGTACAACGTTATTTATTATTTTCTCAATAATTATTAATAAATTTGACGATGTGTACATCGCTTACTTACATTTAGCATATTGATTATCCTCTATGTTCCATAACGCATTTTTATCTCTCATATTTGGATTGCAAGAAACTTCTTGTTGATTATATCCCCTAATTAAATTAAATATATTTTCAATTAATTACTTTGTATCTGAATAAAATGTAGAAAATTACGATCAAATAATTTTAATTTTGTTCTTATTTTCTATTTCCTAAGTTTTATTTTTATTCATGTATTATTCATATATAAAATATCTAACATAATGCACATACAATCGCTTATGTGTAGACAGAATTCATCAGTGAGTATTTTACCATTTTGCAGACAAACATAACATATCATTTTTATAAATAATTGAGATATTAATTAATATTAGTAATAATAATAATATCAATAAATGAATGCGCAAGAAGCGATAAGTTTTATACACAACGTTTTATCATAGATAAAATAATAGAGGATTTCTTTATTTAGTTTAACCTATAAAATGAACAATTTTACGTGTTATGTTAGATAATCTATATATATATATATATATATACGAGGGCGGTCCGATAAGTACTTAGCCTCACCGCCCGATGGCGCCACTATCGCAAGAGAAATTTACTATCGTGTAGTACATTCTCGTAGACGGCTACTGTCGAAATTTCAGCCGAATCGGACTCGTAGTTTTGTTTTGACCGCGTGTGGAAGCGGGCGTGTCCGCGAATTTTAGAAAAATGGAAAAAGAGCAATATCGGTCGGTGATTCGATTCTTGTTTTTGGAAGGGAAATCGCGCAGCGAAATCAAAGAGCGCTTGGATGCTGTGTACGGTGACTCTTCTTCGATGGCGACCGTCAAAAATTGGTTTAACGAGTTTCAATGTGGTCGCACGTCGGTTTTTGATGAGCCACGCCCAGGTGCCCCGAAAACGGCTACCACGGAGGATAACATGACAAAAATCCACGATCTCATATTGGCAGACCGCCGATTGAAGGTGCGCGAGATAGCTGAGACAGTAGGCATCTCAAAAGACCGCGTGGGTCATATCCTGCATGAAATTTTGGGCAAAGCTGTCGGCGCGATGGGTGCCGCGTTTGCTCACTCCGGACAACAAGCGCAACCGTGAGACCACTTCAGAGCAGTGTTTGACGCTGTTTAAGCGCAATCCGAAGGAGTTTCTGCGTCGTTTCGTGACCGTCGACGAAACATGGATCCACTGGTACACACCAGAGACCAAAGAACAGTCGAAACAGTGGACTTCACCCGGCGAACGTGCTCCGAAGAAGGCGAAGACTGTCCTATCGGCCGGAAAGGTGATGGCCACCGTTTTCTGGGATTCACAAGGTGTGATCTACATCGACTACCTGGAGAAGGGCAAAACGGTCATAGGGCTGTACTATGCCGAATTATTGGGCCGATTCGACGCCGAATTGCAGAAAAAACGGCCCCATTTGGCGAAGAAAAAGGTGCTCTTCCACCATGACAACGCACCGGCTCACACCTCCGCCTTCGCCACGGTCAAATTGGTCGAATTGGGCTACGAACTGCTGCCCCATCCACCGTATTCTCCAGATTTGGCCCCGTGCGACTTCTTTTTGTTTCCAAACTTGAAAAAGTCACTCGCCGGGCAGAAATTTGAATCGAATGAGAAGGTCATCGCCGCCACGGAGGTCTACTTTGCAGACTTCGAGAAAACGTATTTTTCAGACGGGTTAAAGAAGTTGAAGCATCGCTGGGTCAAGTGTATCGAGCTAAAAGGAGACTATGTTGAGAAATAAATCGCCACTTTTTCAAAATTTTCGTTTTTCTTTTGTAGGCTTATCGGTTAAGTACTTATCGGACCACCCTCGTATATATTAGGTTGTTCGGAAAGTTCGTTTCAAATTTCGCGCGCTCCACATTTCTATGTAATCAGTAAGAACGAGGGCGCTCTAAACGATTTTATATTTGTCAACAAACATTCCCAGGTCTATGAGCCCGCTAAGGAAACTTCGCAGATCTTCCTAAGTGCAACTATTTCGTCAGAAATCAGTTTGAAAAATGGAGAACCAAAAAGTCCATTTTCGTCATGTGATGCTATATTGCTTTAAACGTGGCTTCACGGCTTCGCAGACCCTGAATGAGATATTCTCAGTATATGGAGAGGCCTGCGTCACTCACCAGACAGTTCGAAAATGGTATCGAAGATTCGAAGCTGGCGATTTCAACATGGAAGATCAAGCTCGCTCAGGCCGGCCTCAGGAGGTTGATGAAACGCTTCTTATGGATCTCGTGCACGAAAATTCTCGAATGACGAGAACTCGAGTTAGAGAACTCGCCGACACTCTGGACAAGTCTGTTTCCACCGTGCATGACCATCTGAAGAAGCTAGGATTCTCAAGTCGACTGGATGTGTGGGTGCCACACGAAATGAATGAACGGTAGTTGCTGGAACGTGTGAACGTCTGCGATATGCTGCTTCAACGGCACCAAAAAGAACCGTTCTTGAAGAGGATCATAACAGGCGATGAAAGTTGGATCCTATACAATTATGTTAGCTGCAAGAAGTCGTGGGGAACCAGCGACGCGTCTACGCAAACAGTGGCTAAGCCGGGGCTTCACGCGAGAAAGGTTCTTCTGAGTATCTGGTGGGATTTTAAGAGCGTGGTATATTATGAGCTTCTTCAACCAAACGAAACCATCAACGCGGCGAAGTACAGCCTTCAACTGGACGAACTGAAGACTGCCAACGCACGGAAGCGCTCTGAATTGGCCACAGGCGTGGAATTGTTTTCCATCATGATAACGCCAGACCTCACGTCGCAATGTCTATCCGTAGGAAGCTGTTAGACTTCGAATGGGACGTTCTTCCTCATCCTCCATATTCTCCCCAGACCTTGCCCCATCTGACTACTATCTATTTCTTCCTTTAAAAAATTTTCTTCGGGACAAGAAATTCGAGTCTTTGAAAGTCCTCAAAAGTCATCTTGATAAATTCTTCGCCAATAAGAAACCTTTATTTTGGAGCAAAGGCATCATGCAGCTTCCTGAAAGATGGGCCAAGGTCGTTGAACAAAACGGTACATATTTGCTTCAATAAAGTTCCTCTTTGTGTAAAATATTGCGCTCTTAATTTATTTCAAAAATTTGAAACGAACTTTCCGAACAACCTAATATATATTGTTATAAATACCTAATATATATACCTAATATATAATATATAACAACCTAATATATATAACCTAATATATAATAATATATATTATATATATACAATATAACCTATTATCATATTGATAAAAAGTTAACTTTTAACGATTTACACGAATATTACTTACAAGGAGATGGCAAGACGTGTAAAATCAATAATTGAATGAGTCATATTTCATTCTAATAGGGGAGGGGAGATTGAGTATATAAAAACCCTAAAAGGGTTTGCGTACATGGGTCTTCGTTTGAAAGAAATTTGTAATTGAAAAAACAGCTACATGTTAAGTGTAGTAATTTGGAATCAATAAGCGTGAAGTGCGGTAGCTGCGGCAGCTAAGGTGTGCGTACGTATCCTGTGAGCCGAGATACTCTAATCCAAAGTTCAATTTACGAAGATTTCACGTTCGCTAGCATTACTAAAAATGTCCCATCGAAAATGTCCATCTCACATTTCTTCTGTTAGAAGCGCTGCGAACCCATCGTGAGAGGCGCCACGAACGGGTTCGCTCATTTCAGAGGCGTCATAAGAAAGCCAAGAAAATTCGAAAATTATATACGAGTGTGTTTGACATATGTAGTGATATTTGAATGCTAACAGAAAAAGTGATGATCGGTGATTAACTCATAAGAAAAGTCGAACGAGGAAACGAGGAAGAAAAAGAGGAAAAAGATATGTGTAATATATGTGATATATATTTATTGCACATTAGAGCAGGGTAAGTAGGTTATTGATTGTTGATCTATGAATGAAATTTATTCTTTTATTTTTATGTTCCATTATTATATGTATTCTTATAACAAAACAATAATATATTTCCAGACAACACCGGATATCCAGTAGATGTACGTTTCACGTCCAATTTATGTCCGTGTGTCCGATTTACGTCCATGGATATAAATTGGACGTAATAAGGATGTCCTTATTGGACATCGGACCTGTAGGACGTCCGATGTACGTCCATCGGACGTCCTATGTCCGAAGTTGTGACAAACGTACGTCCTATGGACGTCTTTTATAAAAAAAATGGATGTCTAATGGACATCCGTGTGCTGTCTGGGATTACGTCATATTGCATATTTGACATTACAGATAGCTGCGTTGGGACATTACTATTGAACAGAAGCACAACAGATTCACTATCAGGTAACACACAATATTATAAAAAATGTCTTTTATTATTATATGAATTTATTTATTTGCCCATAATATATTTATTTGCCCATAACGACAATATATTATTTCATACTGTATATTTTACATTTTCAGATTGCAGCATTGGATCATATTTGTTATTAAGCAGAAACAGAATCGATAGGCTACATCCAGGTAATGCACCATCTAAAAGATATCTTTTATTATTATTTATATATATTCTTGCCCAAAACAAGAATATGTTATTCCACATTGCATATTTTATATTTTCAGGTTGTTGCTGTGAGGATAAACGTAGGCAGAATGACATTGAACGCTGCAATCTGAAAATATGAAACATACAGTATGAAATAATATATTCTCATTACAGATAAATAAATATATATAAATACGTATAATAATAAAAGATATTTTGTATAGAATTGTATGTTGCTTGATAGTGAATCGATTATGCTTGTGTTCAAAAGTAATGTTCTAACATAGCTATGTGTAAATGTCAAATCAAACATAGCTACCTGTAAATGTCAAATATACAGTATGAGGCAATGTATTATTGTTTTGTTATAGGAATACGTATAATAATATATTTCATATTGCATATTTGACATTTACAGGTAGCTGCGTTTGATTTGACCTTTACAGATAGCTGCGTTGAGACATTACTATTGAACAAAAGTACAACCGAGTCACTATCAGGTAACACATAATACTATAAAAAATATCTTTTATTATATGTATTTATATATATTTATTTGTTCATAGCGAGAATATATTATTTCATATTG